CTAATTTACTAAGATCAAATATTAAATCAGCTTTATAATATTAGTATAGATATAATATTAGTATATAGTAATGGAATGACAAACATGCTGACAATCTACCTGAAAGTAAAGGGTAACCGTCGCCTATATATAAACTTGCTATAGCATTTTTAATTAGACATAAGTCTTGATTCATTCACATTCATAACCAATGTCATATTTGATCTCAAATTTGCATGCGGGCTAAGGCTTTTGTGGGTTCAATTAAATAGATTAATAATAATAGGTTAATAATAGATTAAATTGGAAATAATTTATTTAAATAAACGTATATTAATGCACTTTTGAATAGTCATTACTATTTTTTTAATCTACCGCTTATTCTGAAACTGTCTAATCACAAGAAGAAAGAACGAGTGTTGTTCTTTTGAATAATAACAATAATCTCAAAACAATTAGCCATCTAAACTTAAGTTAAGCTAGCTAAATTTATATTATGAATATTAGATAACCATTACAAATACGCAGAAATATATATTTTTCGTAAATACATACATATTATACATACAGCCTGACCGATCACACAAATAATCAAACTCAAGAATACAAATGTTTGCGCCGTGCGAGGGATTGAACCCGCGACCATCGGAAGTAAGGTGATGTTCTAAACATTAGACCACCGAGGCCATCAAATAATTAATATAAATTTAGTTCCAAGCGCTTGGAATTGTATATTGTATACTCACCGTTTATCACGGACTACACCGACTGCTGTATTAATTATTTGCTGCACAAAGTCGCTCCTTTCCCGACAATGTTGAAGATATTTTCTAAGTCATTGGCTAAAAACTACAATTTAAAAATAGGTACCATGAATATCAATCTTCTTTAAATTAAAATAATACCTGTATTTTAATGAATTTGGCGATGTAAGTGGGAGCGAATTTAGTAAAGGAACTAATGTCCCCATTAGTTCACGTGGTTCCCTATGGAAATCATTGTAGTAACTCATGACAATTTATACGATTGATACGATGGGCTAACTAACCTGACTTACTAAAACTCATCTTATGATACAAAATAGGTGACACGCCGGCAATAATTCAATCAATCATTATTAGGTTTTCAAAGAATTGTATACCTTTGGATTATTTTGGATACTACTATTAAATAGAATATGTTACAGGTAATATAACAATGTATTGTTCTAAAAAAATACAACCCTCAAACAAAAATAGATCACCACCGAAATTGTTGATAAAATATTGTGTTATTCATTTAAATACTTAGAAGTTAACAAACAAAATACGAAGAATTACACTATTTTAAACAATTACATACTTCAATATGCTAAAAAATTTTTATTATCAGTACTGAAACATTAAAAGTATCGGTAAAATATTGTGTTAAATAAATTTGTGTTGCCATTCTGGGGGACTCAGATGTCATCGTTACCACACCTTGTAATTTCACTGCCTTTATCTTATTCTTCAACCGCGAAACAGCTTACAAAGTGAGCTGTTTAGTACTGTGCTGATATAGGTATTCTTCATTATTGAAACTAAGAAATATCGCGCAGAATAAATAACCTTGTGAATTAACTAATAATTAAATTGTTGCAAAATATTTGCCGTGTTCGTTTTGTCATTAGAATATAAATTTATTCATATACTCTTATGATTTATTCTGTCACATAGGGTTTTATTTTGTATTTCTCATTTATGTCATACCATTATAATCAAAATATTTTTATTATTATATCTATTACAGAAACATATGATCAGTTAAATCCACCGACAATTCGGAAAGTAATTGATTTACTATTTGTATTTAGACCGTAGAGATCGTAAATTGGAATCTGGTAGACACAAAATAAATTTATATTTCTAATATCTTTTTGAAGTAACTGTCTGGTGATGGAAGTATCGACATCTATACTAGTGATAGCGGCGGGCATCTGGTGAATCTGGATTAATGTTATTATATTTTAAATATAATAACACTTACATTATGATGCCTTCCAGAAATTACTGTTTAATTACACATAACAATCAGTAGAACGATAAAAAATTTTGAATTATTCATTTTTTTAACTAAAAAATTTTTTTAATTAGTGATGCAGTTACTAAAATTATTTATTTATTAAATATCTACAGTTCTCTGAATATCACCGTTATATGCGAACAATATCGAATTTATTGGGTTTCTATGAATTACTATGTATGTATAAATGTATGACAGGACACGTATTTTTTTAACTAGATTACGCGCGCTGACTTGATATTGTGGTCTAAAAACCACTTACGCCTGTACATAATGTTATGTTCCCTAAAATTAATTATATTTGAACCTTATTTACTACCCCTTTAAGTATATATTAAACCTGTAGGACATTAATGGTATGAAAAACGAATATATGAAACAATAGATCTAGAAGTAATACTAATAGTCATGTAACCACTGACTGATTAACATTAGTATACCTAGCAAGATATGATATGAAATAATTCCTAACATCAATGGTAGAAGTAAAATGTAACATCTAGATCAGATTTTTTTATATATTAACTAGAATTGGAAACCAGCTGACGGTCCACCTGATGGAAAGTGGTAACTGTTGCCTATATATTACATGAACAGCATCACGGATGTTGTTGGATAAAAAAGAGAATCTAAGGATAAACCTGTTTCGCGTTATTTTCTCGTGTATGTGTTTCTCACATAGCTCGTAAGACAGATGGTCGTTGGGGTCTTCCTAATAAAGTCCTCAAGTAGCGACCGGGGACCGGAAGACGCAGCCTGGGAAGGTCTCCGATAAGGTGGACGGACGATCTGGACTAAATCACTGAAAAGCGTTGAATGCGAATAGCGCAGGACCGATCGTTGAGGAGATTTTTGGGTGAGACCCTTGTTTAATAGTGGATCGTCTTCCGGGCTGTGATGATGATGAAGTATACGCGAAAAAACAATGAGTACATACAAGCATGAAGATGACACTTAAGAGCCAGCCAAGCAAGATCTTATTTCTCTTGCATTTAGTCAACTCAACGGTGTAGTTAGTCGATTTCCAGATGTAGATATATTTGTATGTAATTTACTGGATTTTCGTAGAATGGCAATAGATTATTTGCGTTGTACAAACATGAACTTCGGATTCATGTTCTTTTTAGTAAGGCTTAATCTTTATAAATTCATTCATCTTTAAATGTTATTATAGTGCGAAGAATAGAACTCGCGACCACGGAAAAGCGATGTGGTAAACTATCATACCACACACACACATACCGTTTCCCCATAGATAATACATTTTCTAGTCTATTTATGCAGTCTAATTTCTTTTTACCTATTTATAATTAACATACCACCAAATACACTACTCGGCCTATCTGTATTATGTATTTCTTTATATTTAGCTTTTATATATTCCACATTATATGTATCCTCAGCTGATTTGCACTTCTAGTTACATAAAAAAAGATAATCCATTAGAGAGTCAACTGCCGATGTCTTGGTGGACGCAACATTTCGCATTATATGACATTTGAATGTGGCAGGGGGCGAGCCTGTGTGCCTATTTACATTTATCTGCATAATAAATTAGATCTTTGCGTACATAATGAAATGAATATTTATATTCCAGGGAATAACTACGAGAACTGCTAGAGCGTGAAACGAATCTTCAGGACAAATAGCTTTTTTCTAAATGATAACGGCGCACCGGGAATGGCTAGTTCCCTTAAAGCAAAAGATTGTGTATAAGTATTCAATATGTATGTTGTTAAATGATATATTAATTATATTCTACCAACTATATTATATAATGTTTTTTTTTTTTCATTTTTGACTTACATCCATTATATCTGAATTGATAGGTTTTTCAATTACAACAGAATTAAAAAATGTATCCATTTTGTATCAATTAGGGTATTTTTTATGTATTTACAAAATAATGTATTTATGTTTAGTTGTTCAGTATCCATAACACAAGGTCTGCAAAGCTTGAGACTAAATGGCGCTTAGTGAATTCTCCTGAAATATAATATTATTTTATATCACATTATATTATATTTATGTTATAATTACTAATTGATTTGACTTCACGGCCTCCGTGCTCTAACAGTTTAGTACACCGTCTTACCGCTGATGGTCGCGGGTTCGAGTTCTCCCACGTACATATATTTGTATACATGAGTAAATACCATCGATATTATTAATTCATGAAGTATTCTAATTAATGTTCACGGAACCATCGCTCCGAAGTTGCGAGAAGCGATGGTTTGGTGATGATGGTGATGGTATTTATCCTTCAATTCTTGTACCTGACGGGTCTAGGTAGCGAACTTCGAAAAAGGGCGAGCACAATAGACCTATGCAAGTTTTAACACCTGATAATATCCCATAAACATCTATAAAAAAATGGAGCACCAATCATTAACCGAAGCACATGCATATTATAAAAAATAAACTATTTTTTATAATAATAAAACTAAACTGAAAATACTAATTCTTAATGCTAGAGTGTTTGTCGTTTATATTTTTACTACTAGACGGCTGAGTGCTACTGTTCTTAAGCACCTGATAATAGACCAAAACCCTCAATTAAATAAAAAAAAATTGACGTCAATTATTTCTTAAACGAGGCAAACAAAGCAACAAACATATTATAAAAAAGGGATCAAAATACTAATTATTAATGCGAGAGTGTCTTTTATATTCTTACTACTAAACAGCTGAGTGGATCTAAATTAAATATAAATATTTAACATATTACTAGAACACCTATTGGCTAACTTTTATCTCAAGAATAGAATCTCGAGAAAGTAGTAAAGTAGTACATATTATATAAAATGGTCAACACTCTTGTATGTAAGGTTGAATTTCAATACAATCAATGGTAAGGAAAATTAATAGTTTTAGGTACTTATATGTGTTCACGTTAATCCCAGTCAATTGTCTAACAATAAAGCTAAATTCTGATTCATTTATACACAAGCTATTGTTAGCACTATATGTATATCACGGTGAAACTCGACATATTTCCCTTTCAATACATTAACAATTAGTTGATTATTCAATTAAATTTTCTTAAAAATAAATCTATCGCAATGATTTTTATGAGAACATCCGTAATTTTATTAATTTTTGTTGTCGGTTTATCAGTAATTTCTTGTGCACAGCAACGTGGTGTTAAAAATAAGATAAAAAAGGCTCATGAAAAAGTTGTAAGTAATTATTATACATCTATAGTAGCATATTATTGGAATATTTATTTTAAACTTTCACGTTTGGTACACATCAATATAGTTTGACAGCCTTGGTGGTCTAGTGGTGTCGCATACCGTTTTACTATCCGATGGTCGTGGGTTCGATTCAGATATTGTTTGTATCGGTCTGGGTATTTTCGACGCCCTCTATATCGAAACCTTTAATATATTAAGTTTTAATTACTATCTCACTAATATTATAAACGCGAATGTTCTGTGAGTATGGATGGATATTTGTTACTATTTGACGCAAAAACTACTGAACAGATTTTGATGAAACTTCACAGTAATATAGCTTATATATCAAAGTAACATATGGTCTATAATTTAAGAAGATATGTAAATTGGACGAAATATAACGACAAATGTCAAGTAAATATAATGCAGACGAAGTTGCTCGGGTCAGCTAGTATGCTATATTAATTATACCCAAACGACTACAATATAACATTTACAGGTAAACTATTTTGCACGGCATTTGAATCGCGGTACAGGAGCACCAACAGTCAAAAGTAAACCGAGAATTTTCGTTGATAAAGTCGTAGGCAAAGTTGTAAGTATTAACGAAACTATAATTTAAGTTATGTATATACATGTATAGTTTATATGTATATAAACTAGTAGGTATAGCAGAATACTGATGAAAATAAAACAAATTACATTATCTTTGTTCATGTAGGTTTAAGGATCAGTTACATACCAAAGTGACGGGAAATTATATATTTCATGACCGTATCAGAAGTTGGACGGACGGTTATTGTGTAACTCTTACTCACTAAAAACCCAAATGTCACATTGGTGTGGCGCTGTTTAAGAAGATATAACAGATATCTTCTTCAACAGCGCCACATCGTGGTAGCCTTGCTTTTTGCCATTTTGAAGGCGAAATGACTGCAACATTGTAATTTCACTGCCATATGGGAGATATTCAACTGAAACATCATATAAGACAGACTGCTTAGCTGTTGATAAGATGAATGTACGTATGCAGACGACTTTGTTCGAAGTGTAAAAATTATATAATATGTTCATATTAATCTATTTTATTTTACAGACCAAGTGGGCCACTAATATGTCAGATGGAATAATTCGTACTTCAAATACGCTATCTGCAGCTGATAATGTTGCAAAATTCGGGTAAATAATTATATTCTTAATGAATTAATTATTATATGAATAATAATGCATTAAAAAAAGTATATAATTATAATATTTACAATTGTCACATCTCCAGAGTTAACTGACTGAATTATACGTGCAGTTTTCATTAAATAATGCTTTAACAAAAGTATTAATATTTATTATTTAAAATCGTCTCTCATAGAGCTGTAGTAATGATCATCACGGTTTTATTTGTATGTATATGTCTATATACATACAAATAAAACCGTATATGTACTGGATAATAATATGTATGTACTTTTATACTATTTTTATATTAATGTTTTGCTGTACTAAACCTTGCTCTACACTTCCAAAGAGAATGATAATTGCATTAAGCCTGTCTTCTGTATAAAATTTCAATAAAATATGAATAAATATATAATAATAATAATAACTTTATTGTGCAAAAAAAAAAACCGAATACAAAAGGGACTTAACTATATCTATATTAATTCATATATATATACAATAGTTCTTAAAACTATATAAAGTGTGTTAATTATTTTATAATGAGTAATATTAACCTACGATTACTAGTTTACTAGATTACGTTACGCTACTATAAATGTGGGGTACATATAAATGCACCCCGCATTTATAGTAGTAGTATAAAGTAACTATTGCTATTTTTTAAACAGCTACTAGTGTAGAAACGGATTACTTGTGTGTGTGTATAATAATTACAGTAATATACATATGTATTTGATTTTTCAGGGCGAAATATGACATGTGGAAATTACCTGCATCTCACAAGCAGTTTCAACAAAAAAAGCCGCAATTGAGTGCATGGATGCAACCGATGCCAATAGATTATAACAATATTAATTATGGCGCTCCTTCTAAGGATTATAGGTATGATATATACAATTCTCGTGTCTCAGTGTTGCCATACTTCGCCGTAACGGCTTAACTGATTTTTATGAAATGTTATATGTACACCCGGTAGGTCTGAGAATAGGTTATTATCTATTTTTTATACTCCAAAATGATAAAGGTGGTCCACCCCAAATAAAAATATTTTCACATATCTGTTTATGATTCTGCATTAAGTAATACATACAACCCTAAATTTTGACCCTTTTACCATAAACCCAAAGTACGAGGCACTTCTGGTGTTTGTTGTGTCTATAGGCTACGGTCACAATTTACAATTGAATGGGCCATATGACTGTTTACCAGCATCGTGATATAAAAAAATATTATCACGATTATAATTCTACAAAAGATACACTTAGTAGTGATAAACAAATAGAGTTTGAAACAAAAATAAATGTAACCATACTTTAATTGAAATATTTAACATATTGACTAATATTTTTATTTCATTCATTCATTCATATATTTTAATTTTAAGTTATTAGTTACAAATAGTAATGCACTTTTCAGAGAATCAACACAAACAGGAGTTGATATGTATTATCCGTTCCAGCAAATGATTCCAAATTACAATGGAGCTCCATATCCAGCCCCATATCCCACGACAGCACTGAATAATTTACCTGTTTTACCATATAATGAACCCATGATGCAAAATTATATGGCGATGCAAAGGCAAATGATAGCAATGGCATATTATATGCACATGCAGAATAATATGCCAATATTACCCAACCATATGCTAATGATGCCAGATAATAATGTTCATGGTGAAATGGCACAAAATTCATTTGTACGGAATAATATGCCTTCGAATGGAGAAATAGAGAGCCAAAGACAAAAAAGTTGAAGTACCATCAAATGGAACTAGAGGTAGAGGTAATACGTAACATGGTGATGTTGGAAATAAAATGAAGAAATGGGAAAAATATAATTGGAATTATTAACTTTTTAATTGTTTTATACATACTACTGAAGTGCCATCAAATGGATCTAATAGAAGTAACGGTAACACGGAACATGCTGATGTTGGAAATAAAATGAAGAAGTGGGAAAAATATAATTGAAATTATTCACTTTTTAAATGTTTTATACATACTACTGAAGTGCTATCAAATGGAACTAATAGAAGTAGCGGTAACACGGAACATGCTGATGTTGGAAATAAAAGGAAGAAATGGGAAAAATATAATTGGAATTATTAACTTTTTAATTGTTTTATACATACTACTGAAGTGCCATCAAATGGATCTAATAGAAGTAGCGGTAACACGGAACATGGTGATCTTGGAAATAAAATGAAGAAGTGGGAAAAATATAATTGAAATTATTAACTTTTTAAATGTTTTATACATACTACTGAAGTGCCATCAAATGGAACTAATAGAGGTAGCGGTAACATGTAACATACTGATGTTGGAAATAAAATGAAGAAATGGGAAAAATATAATTTAAATTATTAACTTTTTAAATGTTTTATACACACTACTGAAGGGGCATCAAATGGATCTAATAGAAGTAGCGGTAACACGGAACATGGTGATCTTGGAAATAAAAAGAAGAAATGGGAAATATATAATTGGAATTAATAACTATTTAAATGTTTTTTGCATATTACGGGATACTGTTTAGTATATAGCACAGATTACATAATATTACATATGTACTTCATAAATCTTATGTAATTACACTATTATTAGTTCTGTTGGAAATGTATTCTGAATGATAATTAAGTGTAGTAAAGTACTACCTAGATAGATTAGACTAGATATGGGCGCGGTGTCTAATTGTCAAATCTATTATATAATTTTATACAAACTTTAATGTTAAGTTAATTAATATTTATAAAAAATATATATAAATAAAATTTCTGTATATTATTATATTTACAGATACGTAAAACTTTGCAATAATTTAAAATACGATTATATAGTAAAATTATTACTTCCATAAACTGTAGGACAACAATATTTGTATAAAAAAAAAAAATATCAACGAAACATAAATAATTTTATTAACATAATAAATAACATGCAATTATAAATCTTATTGTATTAGGAATTGGAGTTATTTTGATATCATCCGCTAATGATGGCGGATGCTTGACCAACTACTGCTACTGCTGGCCCCGCCTTGATGATTCCATCCCTGATATGCTGTCCTATTCTTTCCTGGTGTATAAAGAAATATATATTGAATATAGAAATAAAAAATATGAAAAATAAATAGCTTGCGTTAACCTGCATTTGGAAGCTACATCTAATGATAACGAGAAAAAACTTATATCAACTCCAAAAAGAATCAGAGTTAATTTCTCATTCTGAATATTTTTGGGAAAATACATAAATAAAATATAAAGTACCTTCTAGAAGACATATGTACTACCAAATTGGGATTAAATAAGATATGTAAAAATAAAATACTAGAGGCGGCTTTGTAAAGGTGTACAGTATATATGATAGACTACCCGCAGTCCAATAACATGCATATATTACATTTATAAACCTTCTGTAATAAATTAAAAATTGTAATTGTATTCTTGTTTTGAAAAAGGAAATCAAATAACAGACAGATTGAAACAGATCCTATATATTATTTATAAATGCTACTAATTTAAGATTTGCCTTCTTTTAGAGATGTATTCTCGTTCTTACCTTAAAATCAGCCATTAGTGAATAATACTGAACATCTATAATTCTATTTAACCTATACATACATACGTATAAACAAAATTGCAGTGTCTGTTAGTAATATTGAAATAACCGTTTTTTACTACATGCATGTAAATATAAAAACGGTACATACACCAAAATAACATTTTTTACTATTTTTGTCCATCTGTCTGTTTGTTCCGGCTAATCTCTGAAATGGCTGTGCCGATTTTGACGGAACTTTTTTGGTATGTAGCTAATGTAATGAGGAGTAACTTAGGCTACTTTTATTTTAGAAAAAATGTTTTACTTTAGAATAATAAAGTTAAATTTCACACGTTATTTATATGTATAATTAGTAAATCACGATATCTTACCACGTTTAATTTTTATTTAGTTCTAAACGTCTGAGATGCTTATTTTCTTTTTACGATCTTATTTTCTATTACAATTACAATAAGGAAAATTATGTTTTCGCATTGATTTTTCCAAATACAAAATACAAAATCAATATCTTATAGGTTACTTAATCCGATGGCATTAAACTTTGCTACTTGTGCAAAATAACATTTTTTACTATTTTTGTCTATCTGTCTGTTTGTTCCGGCTAATCTCTGAAATGGCTGGGCCGATTTTGACGGGACTTTTTCTGGCAGGTAGCTGATGTAATAAGGAGTAACTTAGGCTACTTTTATTTTAGAGAAAATCTTTTATTTTAGAAAAATAAAGTTAAGTTCTAGACGGAGGAAGTCGCGGGAACAGCTAGTTACTTATAAATTTCATTATTCCATAGAAATATGCAATAGCAAATTCACTCTTCGTAAATACATTGCTGACTTACGAGTTACAGGCAATTCTATAATATTAACATTTGTACATACAAATAAGAAAAAAATGTTCAAAACAAATGGAACTATACTTAATGACATTATGCATTCTACAGTTATTTTGCAATTTTATTTACATATATCTATTAAATTTGAGTTTTGATGTTTTTTACTGTTGATTTTATAATAGATATTCCTTCGATTATGAATTAAGTCATTAGTCAGATATCAACAATATCTTTAATAACTTGCAAAATTACAAATTTTATTACTAAATTATTGTTATACGAACCAATTTAAATCATTAAACGTTGAACGTGACAGTTGCAGTTTCAAACGTTATTATCAGGTAGTACCTATTTTAATAACTATTTTTTTTTATATCAATGACAATTTCTGGTAACTGCATAACACAAAGAAATTCTCTTGTATTCTTTATATACTAAGATAATACACAAGCTTAATAAAAGCCTGCAAATTTATTATTTAATTTTGGGTAATTGTCTATAAATTTATACATTCATATTTCATACATTTAAAGTTGATTTTCAAAATCATACTTACAATTTTCTTAAAAAATTTCCAACGTGGCTCTGGAGCTGCGGTCACACAACTTATCGCCATGATACAGGCCACAAAGAAAAATATGATTTTCCCGAAATTCATTGTTAATAAAAAAACAGTTCAAATTTGGAACTTATTTAGAACACGATTATGTGTGTACTGTAATCACAGAGGCTTTCCTACGTTTTTTATACCATTTTCATGCAATTCTGAAGTGCTATACACATATACCGTATCATGCAATTTTACACCTTTTCTCCTTCTTGTTTAGGTGTTTTATCATTTTATATCGTGAGTATATAATAACTTTCTAGGTTAAGTCTCTCGAGCATTAATTGCTGTAAGTATTTCTATAAACAAAGATATATATCTGTCTTATTTAAATCTCGATTACGTTTAAATTGATAAGAATAAAGTTGTATTTGTCCGTGGGAAGAATTACTTTTTCTGTTATATACATTATTATACATATAAATATAATTTAATACAAGTTTATTTAATAATGTTTCAATAAATTTATTTATTGAATTTATTATATATATATAATCGCGAGCAACTAGAAATTAATACTATAACAATAGATTCTTAATTTTTATTTTACTCTTTTTTTAATATCTTTATTTCGGTGATATGGATGTTAAACAAACTACCATTCAATAATTGCGGGTTCAATTCCTGCATGATGCAAACTTATAAACGCTCCTATGTGCTGTTGTTATTACAGTATATGTAAATATTTACATGTAGCTTGTTGAATTTGCGTAGATTGGCAGTGGATTGTTCAAACAATATGTAATTTTTAAAGTTGTTCTTCTTTTAATTGTTGTATTTTTCTTTAAAATATTAATATATTATATATAATATGTTTGTGTAATTTTCCTAAGTGTGCACTGTGCATATTGGAAAAGTAGTATAAACTCGCTTAGTTTTGATATCAATAAATATAATAATAATAATAAAAGACCCTGTATAATACTGGATAAAATGAAGGATGAAATACATATACATTTTTCAGTAAATACATACATAATACATACAAACACCCAGACTGATACAAATAATCACACTTGCATCGAGCGAGGAATCGAACCCGTGACATCGGCAGTAAAGCGGTGTGCTAAATAGCTAGACCAACGAAGCCGTCGTTATATACGAGTATGTTCACTTACTCAGCTTGACAGCCTCGGTGGTCTAGTGGTTTAGCACACCGCTTTACTATCCGATGGTCGTGGGTTCTTTGCACGGTACAAACATTTTGTATTGTTTGTATCAGTCTGGGTGTTTTCTATGTATAATATGTATTTATTTACAAAAAAAAAATGTATCCATGTATTTATATCACTTATACCCATAACACAAGCTCTGCTTAGTTTGGAACTAGATGGTGCTGTGTAAATTGTCCTGAGATTTTATTATTATTATATTATCTGTAATGCAAATGACATAAAACAAAAATTGAAGTGTAATTATATAGAAGATAGCTGACTCGAGTAACGGGACAGATTTCTGCAGTAGACAGTTTAATTATCTTTGTAATTCTGCTGTGACCATCCGCTGTTATTAGGTGTGCCCACAATTTGCCAGCTCTGGTAGCACAAAGGATTGTCTATTTCATATTACAATGAACGGAAAATGAGTATAGCGAGCTCGATGTAAAAGATGCAGTTACATTGGATACCAGTTGGTCGGTCGAGTTTTGCTCGTGCGTTTATAACTTTGTAAGTTATCTATGTAGATATATATATAATTATATATATTAAAATTTTCTCCTAGTCTACCACAGGGACACAAGTTTAAAGTAAACATTCAGGTGGGTGGTGCAATATCAAAACTGTGTATAAAAATTCAAATTCAAATTCAAAATGTCTTTATTCATGTAAGTCTATTACAGACTCTCATGATATGTCACATCTACCTGTATGTGTATGAAAACATAATTAGATATACATTTTAGAAAAGAAAAATAAATAGTATAGAATTTATTTAGTTTTTTATATTAAAATTTCTGTAGTGTATTATCTGCATATCTTATTGTTATTTGAGATGAGTGTTTACTATTTTGATTACAAGTTTTTATTTATTTTTATATAATTATTGATTAGGAATTATTACAAGGTGAAGCGTATATTTTTAGACTAGTAGTCCGCTCCAATTGTTATCAGGTGCTCATAACTTAGTAGGTTATTTTATGGGTTTATTCCGACGATTAAAAAACAGCAATATTCATAATATTAATACTAGATTTAAAGACAAACTTGCTGTCCCCAAGTATCGTTTAGAAAAAGTTAATAGGTCTTTTATGGGAATAGGTATAAAAATTTATAATAAGATACCAAAGGATATGTTGGAATTACCCTTAAATAAATTCAAAACATCTGTTAAATCATATTTACTGAGCAAAGCCTATTACTCACTAAACGATTACTTGAATGACGAGTGTGCATGGCAATAGTTGCAATGCACTGAATTTTCATTTAATGTTAGACATAGACACCTATATAAATGCATTGTAAATAAACTGGCTTTAAGAAAAAAAGTAATTCAATTGAGTTTCTTGCCAGTTCTTCTCAATTGGACCTATATACCGAACTGGACGGTAGGGAAAAAATAAAATTATAATGTAAAAATTTGACGTTCATAAGCGGCTAAAATGTCCTACATGAGTAAATGATTTTTGAATTTTGAACTTTAAATCTCCTACATCTGCGAAACAACTGAAAAAATATACATGAGCATAGTACTCAATTTCTTGATCAGATTCATACCTATGTGAGTGTTTTTTTAGAACTATTGTAATGCTGTTGACCACAGCTGACCTTTACATTTTCACCGAAAGATAGGGGACGAGTGCAGATACTGCAGATGGCACTCTAAATCCCGGAAAGACTTATGAGCAGACCAATTCTTGCCTGACGGATATGACTTTAGTCTGACGGTACCGCTAGGGATTCGCACCTCTTCTCAGGATGTCTTAATTTCGACTTACGTTTGAATTGGACAGGGGTCGTTCAGAGGGATTACTTTGTGATTTTAAATTTATATATATTAATCTAATATAATAATATGTTACTATAGATTAATTTTCTCTTTAAAATGGTAAAAGAATTTCTGAAATCGGTTTAGGGCATACTTTATTTTACTCATCACGAAATCCTCTCTAAACAAAATAATAGGTATGGTTATAAATAACAATAACTTAAAACAAAAAAGTGTCGTTTTTTAGTATCGTTTATGTAAAATTTATGTTAATGAAACATAGATATTTCAAGTTTATCGAAATAAAACGTTCACAATTTCCATATATATTTTTTTTATTACATCGAGGCTCCTGTAAACAAACATAGAGCAATGTTTTACCACTGCTCTGAACTGATTGTACACAACATTTGGCAATAGGCCATTTTGGCAATGCAGTATGCAGTCGAATATCACAGATCAAAGTCAGCTAATTATCAGCTGTAGTAGGTGACACAGAGGTATCCGACGCAGACAATTTTGTCAAACTCTGACAAATCTCATCTCAGTAATCCATACTTGTATATAAATCTATACATACATATAAATAAAAGGGGTGTGTCTGTTTGTAATATTGAAATAACCGTTTTTTACTACATGCTTATGAATATAAATACGGTACATACGCCAAAATAACATTTTTTACAATATTTGTCTGTCTGTTTGATTGTTCTGGCTAATATCTGAAATGGCCGGACCGATTTTGACCGATTAGCAGGTATCTGATTTAATAAGGAGTAACTTAGGCTACTTTTATTTTAGAAAAGAAAAGTCCACGCGGACGAAGTCGCGTGTACAGCTATTAAAGATATCGATCCTATACATATTTTAAGATCACTATCTTGCAGTTAGTTTATATTAAGCTATCTTCGTATAGGTAAATAACCTTATAGTTAATTGTCACAAAATACACAACAGACTCAAAAACAGTACGTAGAATATATAATGTCTATTATTGTTTTTATATGTTATAATTAGGTATGCGATATCGAATATTACGTATGACAACGGGATTGAACCTGATGACGAATCACGCTCAACAATGTAAATACGTGCGCATACGTATAATGAGATCATGATGTCACGACAGCTGATCACACTCGAGTATAGAGTAAAAGCGTATTTCTCCTTCTTTTATAAATGAAATTTTATACTTTCATTCTTCTTTTGTTTGGCTATAGTCCCCTTCTGGCATATTTGGGGTCGGCCCGTCTGGTCAATTTTCGCCAGTAAAATCTGTCCTGGGCCGTCCGGGGTGTTAATTCGGCGTTTTTAAGTCCTTTAATAACATCAGTCATCCGTGTGAGGTGGGGTCTGTCACGTCGTCTGGACTGGGTACTCATGTCAAATATGTTCTTGAGATGTGGTATGAGTGTCGCCGCATAACGTGGCGTACCTTAGATGGCTCTTAAGTTAAACTTTATACCATAACTAGAGAACACCTTATACGTTGTTTTATCATATAAATTAAAATCGATAAAAAAATAAGGGTTGGTGATGAAAGGGTGTACATTAAGGGTTCTATGTAGTATTTTTAATGCCACATTATTAGAAAATAAAAAGAATGTTAGGGGTACCCTTATCATTTTCATTCATTCATAATTTAAGAGCTGTGCTCTTGTCGGTGGAGCTCCCGCCGCATTCTACGATCTTCTATCAGTCCTTTTAGCTGTTGATACGACACGACTCCAACTTTTTCTTTAACTTGCTTGATATAGCTGTGTCTCGCTCTTCCCCTTCCTCTCTTTCCATCTATTTTTCCTTCAATAATGTTGTTAATTAGTTCGTCGTGTCGTATCAAGTGCTCCAACATTTTCCCCCGCCTATTCTCAATAATATCTATGATCTGTCTCTTTTCTTTAATCCTCTCAAGCACTTCTTCATTCCTTATTTTATCTTTCCAGCTAATTCTTCCCATTCTTCTCCAACACCACATTTCAATGTCCACGTCTCACACTTATCACTTAGGCATATAAATAATAGATAGTAACGGATTCTCAGACCACTGAATATGCATATAAAATTATAAAAAAATTGGTCATACCGTTTGGGAGGAGTATTGTAACTAACATTGTGGCCCAAGAATTTTATACATAAGGTTTTAATTCTATAAAGTCGTATCGCCTATTGTTGCCGTTTACATTGTATCTAAGCTATATTTAGGTTAGAGCCTGAGATATAACAACAGTAACATTGGAGGATATACGGAACGTCAATTGTCAGTAATGTCAACATATGACGGTTTCCACGGGTATCATATGACGATGAGACAGTCCCTCTATATATGT